TATCTGAAAAAAATCGTAGAATACGAAAACATTGGTGAATGCCACAAATTCTCCTAAATCACTTGTACGCACAACTTAAGAACAAATCTGTGCGTACGAACGGTTCTTGCATGAGGCCCAATGCTTCTTGGTAATGTCTTAAACCACTGGAAAGTCTGTTAATTTTCTTTTTCAGTGGAGCCACATTTGTAAGGAACATGCATTTGTAGGATGAGCAGTAGAGACGAGTATGTGGGTTGCGCACATGAAAAATTTTCCAAATCATCTCTGCCATGACACTTATTTTGCACTTCTGGTATCCAGGTGCTGCTATAAGAGTTATTATCAAAGAAATAATCTACCAAACACATATTTCCTCACTTTTTGTGCTAAGTACAGATATCTAAGTGACGTAGATTGAATGTTCAGGCTAAAACTGTGCAAATTTTTTGCTTAAAAGTGCAAGTTTCTTAGTCATTTAAAATTTTATTACTGGTAGATGTTGGCAAACTTTATTTAGGACATATCATTTTAAATATATATTAAACTTGTAAAAGTCTTTAAAAAAATAAACCTAGACATCTAGTCTTTCACTTTTGGAGCAAATATGTAGGTGTCTAACAGTTTAGATGCCTTAAGGAAGTCTTTTCAATGAAAAAAGTGCTTCATTGATTAATATGAGCAAACTGGCTTTCAGTTCTGAAGAAATTTGTTGGGGTTTAGGTTATATACTGATTTTTAATTACATACACATGGTACAGTCTTATGATAGAAGAACTGTAAAGATTGTTAAATGTGACTGTTTTGCTTAACTTGATGATTTTATATAGATAGATACATGCCTGAAAACAAACTCAACACATAACTGAACTTTTAAATCTTCATTTGGCTAGATTATGATTGTCTGGAGACATGGATCCGAGCAGCGTAGGGACCCCTTACCGATGGCATAATCAAATAGGCGGAGCCATGTCTCGGAGCCTGTGTTAAATTCAATTGTCTGCCTGGTGTTTCGGTCTGAATGCTTGGTCATTAAACCAGTCTTCAGCAGAGCGCTCTGAGTTTTGTATGATCTCTCTTTATTAATCTTTTCCATGCATTGGTATATTCCCCGAATGTTTCAAGCACACAAACTGGTAAACGAACACGTATAACAATATTTTCTTTCAGTTCAACCACAAAAAAATAAGAAAAACACACATTTAAACTGGTAATTATAGTTGTTAGACAGAAATCAGTATCAGGTCAGAGCTGTATTGAAAAAAACCAATTCCATAGCAGACCAGAAAACTGGAGTGAGTGCATCGCTTCTTACTTGATGCAATCTTTTAATATTCGCAGATGGTGACCAACACTGGTGTTTAGCAATGAGGTTTGGCTCGTTCTGCTTGGGGTTGCTGAAGCATAAACTACAGGTGCTGGTCATAAAATTAGAATATCATGAAAAAGTAGATTTATTTCAGTAATTCCATTTAAAAAGTGAAACTTGTATATTATATTCATACATTACATACAAACTCATATATTTCAAATGTTTATTTCATTTAATTTTGATGATTACAAATGACAACAAATGAAAATCTCAAATTCAGCATATCAGAAAATTAGAATCTTGTGAAAAGGTTCAAAATGGATGGCACCTGGTACCACACTCTAATCAGCTAATTAACTCAAACCACCTGCAAAGGCCTTTAAATGGTCTTTCAGTCTAGTTCTATAGGCTACACAATCATGGGGAAGACTGCTGACTTGACAGTTGTCCAAAAGGCGACCATCGACACCTTGCGCAAGGAGGGCAAGACACAAAAGGTCATCGCTAAAGAGGCTGGCTGTTCACAGAGCTCTGTGTCCAAGCACATTAATAGAGAGGCGAAGGGAAGGAAAAGATGTGGTYGAAAAAAATGTACAAGCAAGAGAGATAACCGCACCCTGGAGAGGATTGTGAAACAAAACCCATTCAAAAATGTGGGGGAGATTCACAAAGAGTGGACTGCAGCTGGAGTGAGTGCTTCAAGAACCACCACACACAGACGTATGAAAGACATGGGTTTCTGCTGTCGCATTCCTTGTGTCAAGCCACTCTTGAACCACAGACAGCGTCAGAAGCGTCTTGCCTGGGCTACAGAGAAACAGGACTGGACTGCTGGTGAGTGGTCCAAAGTCATGTTCTCTGATGAAAGTAAATTTTGCATTTCCTTTGGAAATCAAGGTCCCAGAGTCTGGAGGAAAAGAAGAGAGGCACTTCATCCACGTTGCTTGAAGTCCAGTGCAAAGTTTCCACAGTCAGTGATGGTTTGGGGTGCCATGTCATCTGCTGGTGTTGGTCCATTGTGTTTTCTGAGGTCCAGGGTCAACGCAGCCACATACCAGGAAGTTTTAGAGCACTTCATGCTTCCTGCTGCTGACCAACTTTTTGGAGATGCAGATTTCATTTTCCAACAGGACTTGGCACCTGCACACAGTGCCAAAGCTACCAGTACCTGGTTGAAGGACCATGGTATCCCTGTTCTTAATTGGCCAGCAAACTCTCCTGACCTTAACCCCATAGAAAATCTATGGGGTATTGTGAAGAAGAAGATGCAATACACCAGACCCAACAATTCAGAAGAGCTAAAAGCCACTATTAGAGCAAGCTGGGCTATCATAACACCTGAGCAGTGCCACAGACTGATCGACTCCATGCCACGCCGCATTGCTGCAGTAATACAGGCCAAAGGAGCCCCAACTAAATACTGAGTGCTGTACATGCTCATACTTTTCATGTTCATACTTTTCAGTTGGCCAACATTTCTATAAATCCTTTGTTTTTATTGGTCTACAGTAATATTCTAATTTTCTGATATGCTGAATTTGAGATTTTCATTTGTTGTCATTTGTAATCATCAAAATTAAATGAAATAAACATTTGAAATATATGAGTTTGTATGTAATGTATGAATATAATATACAAGTTTCACTTTTTAAATGGAATTACTGAAATAAATCTACTTTTTCATGATATTCTAATTTTATGACCAGCACCTGTACATCCATTTGTACATTTATCTATTATTCCTGGTCAGGTTGCAGCTGCAACAAATCCAGCAGGTAAACAAAGACCACCCTCTCCACTCCCCAGCGCCTCCTCCCGAAGAGTCTACGAAAAGGAAAAAAAACATTAAAATAATGTTTCAGGGAGAAGACCCCAGGGCAGACCCAGAGATTCAATAAAAATAAATGTTCGACAGCTTTAAGAAGTCACTTGCAAACACCTGACACGTGCAGCTGTGTGTTGTGTTGTAACAGACATGAGAAATGCTTGTTCCTGTTCGGGTTTTACTTGTAGACGTCGCAGTAACTGGCTCATCGTGAACAGCTGGAAGCCAAATGTTCTGAACATGTGTCAGAACATGTTTTCTTAGCTCTTGCAGGTACAGGATCTTTACTGAGCAACAGCAGCAGTGCGAAGGCGTAGCATGCTATGAAATGACAAAACAGACGACAAAATATCAGACAGGAAGTGGACTCAAAGAACAGACAGAGGAGTCAAACCTAAAACAAAAACGTTAAATTCAAAGATTTCACCAACAGTTTGTTCAAACATTGCTATCCTTAAATGTTAGCGCTGCAGGTGTAACGCTGCCAGGGCCCGCCGGAACCACACGTTGACACGTTTCGGTTCCAAATGAGCTAAAAAAATATTCACAGAATCACAGACACTAAAGTGTTTGTCACGCTGTAGAGCCAATAAACCGATATGAACTCATTTGGCAAGAACATGCTTTCATTCCACACTTTTTCCTTTCCTGTAGCTGTTAATTCCCACAGATCAGCAGCAAAAACAGGAGATTTCATTTTAACATCTGAAAAGTTAGATATTCAAACAAACAGCAGCAGAAATCAGCTTTTTTCTACACTTCTTGTAAGAAGTTAGTTTAGTGAGCCAGGTATGTTAAACCTGATGTATTTATCAGTCAGGATTATAGAAACGTCTAATTATGACACTTCAACGTTATTGCTACTTCTGGTTTTTAATTGGCTGCAAATGACTAGAAAAATAAAAATAACTCCAGCCTGAAATACCAACTTGATTCATTTTCTTCCAGCATACATATTTATATAATTACACACCCACACACATAAACATATATGTATTAAAATAAAATAGGAATGCATAGCCAGCTGTCTTGCAGGCCAAAATCTCATGTGTTTGTGTTCAAAGTATGTTTTGGGGATGACTCTGTAAGGAAATCGAGTTCAATAACGGTTGAAATCAGGTGAAAACACAAGTGTTAAATAAAATGATCTGTGATAGAAATAATTGCCATACAACACCAGAATTCTGGAGTGAGGGTTTTATTCAGCCATGAGCTGGCATGTCAAAACCACACACTGGGGTCTAAACAGGAAGTCGGCCAAATAAATACAGTAGCTTCAATGCCCGAGTCCGCCTCTGCTGGCCTAAAGCTGAATCACAGGCATTCATACAGATATTACTCAATCTATTGTTAATCCAGATTTT